AAAAGGCATAAGGCCTCTGGCCCAGATGGGCTGTTCCCATCAGCGTTTAACGATAAAGGCTCAGCGTTAGTCTTGAAGTTGACTATACTCCTGGGTTCAGTATGGGAAAGGGAAGAGGTTCCAGCGGAATGGTGTGAATCGGTGATGATACCGATTTACAAGAAGGGTGACATATCCTTTTGTAAAAACCACAGACGAAGTAGTTTAATCAACATTGCCTCTAGACTTCTCGCTGGCATCATACTCCGCCGATTATCTGCCGCGCGTGAAGAGTGCACGCGTGAGAACCACGCTGGTTTTAGACCCGGTCGAGATTGTATCTACCACATCTTCACTCTTCGCCGAATTCTGGAGCATCGGCATTCTTTTCGTAGACCCATCGTCTCAGTCTTCCTAGATCTGAAAGCGGCTTTGGACTCAGTCGATCNNNNGATCACTCTAAACTCTGGCGCTGCCTTTCTTTAAATGATATGCCCGAGAAGTTAATTTCAATATCACGATCGCTTAATGCTAATAGTCGAAGTCGAGTCCGGTCTTACTGCACTTTTTCTCCGGAGTTCACCACGGAAAGTGGTGTTCGTCACGATTGCCCTCTTTCCTTTTCTATTTAGCGTTGTTATAGATTTGATTATGGAAACAGCCCTATCCGCGTGCGAGGATAGCGGTATCGATTTACTCCCAGGAGGCAGACTGTCTGATCTGGAGTATGCAGACGACATTGTGCTGCTACGTTAACATCTGGGTAAGTTGCAAGCATTTCTGGATAATATGAATGCCATCGTAGCCATATTCGGTATGCGTTTTGCACCTTCCAAGTGTCAAATGCTACTACAAGACTGGGTCCAGCACTCTGACTGGGGAAGTTACAGAGCAGATTGATAAGTTGTTATTTTGGCAGCTTCTTCTCACCCGGTGGACGCATCGCAGATAAAGTGTCTGCTCGCAGGCGCAAGGCTCGGTCGGCATTTGCCAACTTGAGACATCTGTGGCGCCGTTGCGATTTCCGGCTGTCTGTGAAGGGTCGAGTGTATATGGCGACAGTTCGGCCAGTCCTGTTATATGGTGCAGACACTTGGCCAATAAGAAAACAAGATATAGATAGACTGTCCGTGTTTGAACACCGCTGTCTACGCAGCATTGCACGAATCTGGTGAGGTAGCCGGATAGGCGGTGCTGAGGTTAGGCAAAGAGTTTTGGTTATGCGCGGTCGCCCACTGGAGCAAGTGGTCGACATACATAGATTACGTTCGTTGGGACTTGTGTTACGCATGTCACCAGGTAGGTTACTGCGGCGAGCGATGTTCACCGAAGCAGATACCAAGTTGTAAAAAGCCAAAGGTGGTCAAGCTAAGACCTGGCACGAGGGTATGAAAACCCTAACCAGGATACTGGGTCATAAAGGTCCTGTTAGGCTCCCTGGCTGGGGACCTCGGGATGATCGTAACCGATGGTTAGAGACACTGAGCAGGGGACCTCGGGATGATCGTAACCGATGGTTAGAGACACTGAACGATATGGCTGGGTGTCTTAGGGACCTCGGGTCGTAACCGATGGTTAGAGACACTGAGCGATATGGCTGGGTGTCGCAAACAGTGGCGTTCTTGGGAAACTGGGTCACATAGGTCCTGTTAGGCTCCCTGGCTGGGGACCTCGGGATGATCGTGATCCAGGAAACTGGGTCACATGGGTCTTGTTAGGCTCCCTGGCTGGGGACCTCGGGATGATCGTAACCGCATGGTTAGCACTGAGTGATATGGCTGGGTGTCGCAAACAGTGGCGTTCGTGCATCTTCTCAATTTCTTTGCATCCTTCGACTACTGAACTTCCCCATTTTCCGTTCGACTCCATATTCAACTTTCCTTTCTTCTCCTATTCATCCAAATGGGCTGTCAAAAGATAGCAACCAAAACCCGCGCACGAAAGTGCATGGCTAATGGTTATACAAACTGAAACATGAGCATCTTCTCAAAGCACCTAAGATGGATATCGTGATTCTGGCCGGAGACCTAAATGCACGCATTGGTCGTCTGTCACCCGATGAGCCCCACCTTAGTGGTCTTCATGGCCTTGATAGCTGTCGCTCAGATAATGGGGATAGACTTCGTATCATATACTCAGAACACGGTCTGTTCCTCGTTAGTACGAACTTCAGACATTCTAAGCGTCATCTCG